AGGCTAGGTCTAAAAGAGGGATAGGCTAGGTCTAAAAGAGGGATAGGTTAGGTGTAAAAGAGGGATAGGTTAGGTGTAAAAGGAATGGGAAGAGTATAGAAGGGTAACAAAGAAGTACACAGTAGGATAAGTGCGACCCCACTCTAGTAGTTACATGATCCGAGCCGGTACAACGTGTACTGTAAATGCATTCAGCCGTACCGTCCAGTCTGAACATTCCTTTGTAGTGTTGACTCAACATGTTTTATGCAACCAATGTAGCCTGGCTAGATCACAGTGGTTGGTGAACAGAATGAATAAGATGAAAAGGATAGGGATACAGTACAGTTCAGAGTAGGAAAAGGATAGGGATACAGTACAGTTCAGAGTAGGAAAAGGATAGGGATACAGTACAGTTCAGAGTATGAAAAGGATAGGGATACATTACAGTTCAGAGTATGAAAAGGATATGGGTACAGTACAATGGAGTTCAGAGTATGAAAAGATGGATATAGGGGGAGTACCCATGGTGGGATAAATATACTATAGGAGACGTAGGATCGAACAAGAAATTGGTAATCGTATACTTTCAAGATACACATAAATAGTTCAAGAGCAAACCTAGGGTTTGCCTACCAAGGAAGAGCCTTTCTTGACAACCTTACGCTCTTTTAAGGGACAGACTGGCTAAGTAATAAATAGCTGGTCTGTCCCTTTAAATTATAGTGTTTTGGCAAAGAAAGGAAAGTCTCAATTTAAGCCTCAATTTAAGACAAGGATTGAATAAATTCTATACAGTCGTCTCTGAAGTCTCATTCTTTGTGGATAACCCTGTATCTATTTATGATCAGTTTAAGGCATGGTAAAGGAGTAGGACTGGATAAAGAAGGTTTTGTTGAATATAGATAAGGTGGAGCAGGACCCGGAGTCAGGTCTGATATTAAATGATAAGATTAGAATAAAGGGTTCCGCTCCATGTCTAACGAGATACAGTAAGTAGAAATATGGACGGATCAAATATAGAATCCATATTATTAAAGGGACTGTAAGCGTTATTTTAAATTATTTTCAATCACGTGGATTTAACGGTTCTGTCAATATTCCAGAAAACTGTGACTTTCGATCACAATTTGTTCTATTAAACATCATTTTTTAGCCTTTTTTCTTATATACTTTTTTGTTGGCATATGCATTTTGAATAAAAAGTATAAAACAATCAAATCCGTAAGTTTAAAGATTGTTTAATTATAAACCAAAACGCGTATGATTTCAAATAGAAGAAACCGAATGCCTCTAACTCTGGTTAGTCCGGTGTGAAAGTAAATGCATGGAAGATTGAAATCTTTTAATAATAACTCCTCTTATTAATCAGCAATTGAGAAGAACAGAAATATTTTGAATTTTTAACATGTAATGCACGCACCTCTGACCTTTTCGTAAAAGTAAAATAAAACTTAAGTCTGACCGCGTCAACCTTGTTGCACCGGCTAGTGCTAGCGAGCATTGTATTAAACTTCGTTTCAGCACTTGATGCAGGTTAATCCTCGCTTTATAAAATTGTTCTATCTAATTAGGAGCTAAACATTTGTCTCAAAATCTAATTTTGATTCATCAGCACTAATTAAAGGCCATGATTTCCATCCTGCTCATATTTTTTTTGAAGAGAGAGAATAAATAAGTTTCTTTTAGAAAGTACTTCTTGTGTCTGCAGTTAGATCAGTTAACCGCTACCCTAGCTCTTCTAAGACTTCAAACAATTAATTTCTAAACAAAAATCTAAGAAGAAAATAAGTATGGAAGACGGTCCAGATTTTATTTCAGACGTTTCTCTAAGTGGTTAAAAACAAGATTCTGTTGATATTTCTAATTTAGAAAAAGTAAACCCTATTCAAGCAGGATGCATGGAGCTATTATACGTGTTACGCAACCAAGGGTCTCGTATATAAAGAGAGGATAGTTCACCCCTGACGTAATGTTCCCTCAGACTACTGCAGCGCCCCTGAGATTCGTACTGTGTATTCAAGACCGGCCTAAGAAGAAAGCCGGACGGAACTAGTTTTTAGTTGTGTTTATATTCTGTACACTTTAGTTCATACCAGGCGGATTCCAGACCAGTTGGTTTTTTGATTTTCAATGGTGTCATTTGCCAGTATTTTTTGGTCTTTGTTTAAGTGATATTTTGTGGAGGCGCAACCTGGTATGATTTTTTTACGATACATTTATTAAAAATTATTTAGAATATAGTAAAATCTACAGGTTTTTTATGCCCTATTGAGTTTGTTTTGTGTATTGATTGTATTTATTCTCTGATTATACGTTTTGCTTTATTATGAGGGCTTTTTCCTGTAGTAAAATATAAAAAGGAACTTAAGATTATGTTTTTAGTTGAATTTTCCTGCTGTACTGAATAAAATCCTGAGTTCTATGTTGAATTGTTCATCATGAAGAGAGCAGATGAAAGTTATGACAAACCATCGCAAAATACCACAAGGTTCTTTTTACATATATAGCACGTAGTCGCGTAACAATACGATATGAAACCCTATTGTGACGAAAAAAGTGTGGAGGAATTTTGAAAATTTTGCTGCAGAACTTATTAACTTATTGAATTATTATGGGGGCTCCTGTCTACATGATACCAATTTTAACAAAGTAAGTGGAACATTTATATGTAAAAGCCATTTTTGAAGGAAAACTATATATCGGAAAAGTTTTTTAGAATGCGGGAAAAAAGAAAGAGAAAATTCCCAATTTAGTTTTGAAATTTGCTTAGAACATAGAAGACCGGTCTGGTACATCATGAGATTGCAGATTAGAAGACCTACATCATTTCTTCAACTGCTGGAAACTATAGGGGTTCTTATCATCTTCCTATTAGGCCTCCTTAGTTTTTACAGTATAACGAAATGTGCTCTTGAAACAACTTTTTCTTTATTTGAGGAGTCAAACTTGAAAATATTTAAAGAAGATTTGAGTACAATCGCAATAAGTATCCTAAAATTGATGAAATCCGGATTACAAGAAGTACTCAGCATGTTTGACCCACTTCATGAGATTGCCACTACCCAAATTAATGATCTTATTGATTATATATTAAGTAAGTAATTATTTTCAAAAATACCTTATGGATTATTTTCAAAAATACCTTAACTTATTAAATGCTTTTCTCTTTATTAACTTTGAAACCTTTTTTGCAGGAAAGTTGATAACAATGCGCTATGGACAAGGACCATACAAATTAAAGGAAATATTTCCAGAAAAATAAAAAAATTGCTCCATCATCAATCCAAAATTGTTAGTGTTCGTTATTTTCTTATTGAATAAATATGCTACAGACACAATACACCCCTAATTTTCTAAAATAAATGTTAATTCTATGTTGATTTTAAATTTTAGATGTTTGATAATTTTAGTTCCACATGTCTGAAAGAAAGGAGAAAACCAGAATGTCTTAAATGCAGTTCATATTAATTTGATTTTCTTGTACTTTAGCAAAAAATCAAACTTGAGGAGCCAGAAGGTCACAAAGTTGTACCAGTAATGTACTCAAACTCTTATATTCTTAAAGTTTATTGCTAAAATAAATGTATCTGTATACAGAACGAGTTTACAATTACAAATTGATGATTTTATTAACAGCACAAGTATAAAGCAATTAGGTGGAAAATAGCTCTTGGCTGTTTTGATTATTTTTTCCACCTAATTTTAATAATGATAACAACACATTTCAATTAAATAGATTTAAGGAGAACTTTTCGAGATCAGGGTGCGTTNAGGACCCATGATAATTGGTATGATAGACTTTAGCAAATTTGTTGAAATTTTGTCTGGTCCAGAACTGTTTTTACTTTTTAGTTTTTTAAGAGCATCATTTATAATATCAGGGGTCATATTTGCAAAAACAAAGTTTTCATCTGTTCCCTGTGACAAAAAGTCAGAAAATTCTTTTTCAGTGCCTTTAATAGTTTTTGCTAGATCAGGACCTATATTAGTAAAAAAATTGTTAAACCCCTCTGATATTTCTACGGCCCCTGAGAGAACTTTTCCATTGCTCACAAATGCATCAGGAATGTTAATTGTTTTACGTCCCCTTCCTGTACACTATTGATAGTTAGCCATGTTTGTTTACAATCTTTACTATATTCTTGAAATTTATCATTGAAGGATTTTTTTCGTGCTGCCCTCACAAGGAGAGTGTACACTGCATTATATTCTTTAAATCTAGATTTAGTTTCCTGACAGGGTTTCCTCAACTTTTTATTAAACAATTTGGCTTTACGTTTTCTCGATATTATCAGTGCTTCAGACATCCAAAGGTTAAAAGGTCTATTTTTTTCTGGAAGGATTTACATTTTTTTCAGGGAATGAACTCTCAAAACAGTTATTAATCGACTCAACAAAAATTATTGAATGCACTGTCCTGATCTCTATTCAGAAGAACATTTTCCCAATTTTTATCTTCTAACAATTTTTTGAATTTGAAAATAGACTCAGAGTCAAACTTTCGAGCTTTCTGTTGGGACTTTTTTTCTATGAATTTATCTTTAAAATGTCGAATATAGAAAACAGGAAAATGACCAGAAATATCTGAAACAATAATGCCAGAATCAAAACTATCAAAACTAGGTTAACCTTTCCGGTCCCAGTTTGTACTGTATCTCCCAGGCATTAGGTAAATAAAGCAGACACTCAATCTAACTCTTCGTATTTATCGCACTGTTAAAGTTTAAGGTAGATATTTAAAGGATTAAAGAGACTGGATAGAACGCAGTTAATCTATCTCTACCCATATTTTACAGCGTAAGTTAAGTATGTCGCATGATTTCAGCTAATCATGTTAAGAATTCGATTGAAACGCAGTTTCAATGAATAATCTCATTACGTCTAAGTTTAAAACATTAAATCATTTATGACGTACAACGTACTGCAAGTTTACAGAATATCATGTTTACATGCTTTTTGCTACATGTTAATTATATTATCAGAGCTGGGAATTTTTGTTTTGGATCCTCATAATGCCAATCGCTTCATCTCGTTATTGTGGGCACTTTTAATTTAAGGATCTATGAAAAACTTTAACTTTCCATACTTTCATTTTAGTTATTCCTTCCCCGATCAAAGCTTCCTTTAACCCCTGACTGTGTAGGGATATCGACTAAAGATTAAATTAATCTGCAGATTAACAAAAGACCGAGATCAAGCATTGATTTATAGATCCGCAATATAATAGTTTCCAGCTCAGTCTGAGTAGTTTCAAAAATTGGAATATTTAGAAACTAGANCTCTTAATATTTCAGGATTTTAGGTTTTTTGGTTTCTAGTAGCTCTAAATATTTCAGGATTCTAGGACTTTATGTTTCTTGTAACTCTTAATGTTCCTGGTTCTAGGTTTTTAGGTTTCCAGTAGCTCTTAATATTTCAGGATTCTAAGTTTCTAGATTTCTAGTAGCCCTTAATGTTTAAGAATTTTAGGTTTCTAGATTTCTAGTAGCTCTTAATATTTCAGGATTCTAGGTTTCTAGGTTTCTATTATCTCTTAATATTTCAGGATTTTAGGTTTATTGGTTTTTAGTAGCTCTTAATATTTCAGGATTCTAGGTTTTTATGTTTCTAGTAGCTCTTAATATTTCAGAATTCTTGGTTTCTAGGTTTCTAGTAGATCTTAATATTTCAGAATTCTAGGTTTTTAGGTTTCTAGTAGCTCTTAATATTTCAGGATTCTAGGTTTCTAGATTTCTAGTAGCTCTTAATATTTCAGGATTCTAGGTTTCTAGATTTCTAGTAGCTCTTAATATTTCAGGATTCTAGGTTTCTAGATATCTAGTAGCTCTTAATATTTCAGGATTCTAAGTTTCTAGGTTTCTAGTAGCTCTTAATATTTCAGAATTCTAGGTTTCTAGGTTTGTAGTAGTTCTTAATATTTCAGAATTCTTGGTTTCTAGGTTTCTAGTAGCTCTAAATATTTCAGAATTCTAGGTTTTTAGGTTTCTAGTAGCTCTTAACATTTCAGGATTCTAGGTTTCTAGATTTCTAGTAGCTCTAAATATTTCAGGATTCTAGGTTTCTAGATTTCTAGTAACTCTTAATATTTCAGAATTCTAGGTTTCTAGATTTCTAGTAGCTCTAAATATTTCAGGATTCTAGGTTTCTAGATTTCTAGTTGCGGCAAAGCATAACACTACCCAGCCTTTATTTCATTTTCTAAATAAAATTTACCAAGCCTTAAACAAACCCGAATCTGAGTATACGTTAGGAATTTTCATTGATTTAACTAAAGCTTTTGACTCTTGTGATAAAAATTTACTTCTCAAAAAGTTAGATCATTATGGGTTTAGAGGGATATCCAATCGGTGGTTTGAAAATTATTTAAAGGGAAGAAAGCAGTTTATTTCAATCAAGGGTGTAAACTCGTCTCTTGAAGATATACTTTGTGGAATTCCTCAGGGGTCAATATTAGGCCCAATTTTATTCCTAATTCCCATAAATGACCTTCCAAATGCATCAAAACTGTTTACCATACTTTTTGCTGATGACACAACATTACAATATTTGTCGGAAAATCTAAAAAGTCTTTACGATTTTGCCAACCTAGAGCTTTCAAAAATTGCCGACTGGTTTAAAGCAAATAAACTGACATTAAATGCCTCTAAAGCAAAGTATATACTTTTCAGAAAGAAAACAAAAGTTCTGGTAGGTGACTCACTTAAACTTTTCATCGAAAATAAGGAAATAGATAGAATAGGTGCTGGTTGTAAAAATGAATCCTTTAAGTTTGTTGGAATACATCTTGATGAAAACCTAACCTGGAATCACCATGTTAAAGCTGTAAAAAACAAAGCATCTAGCGCAGTGTTTGCATTATCCAATGTAAGAAATCTACTTCCAAGTAACATTAAGCATACTATTTATAACTCATTATTTCGCTCATTTGTAGAATATGGAATTTCAGCCTGGGGGAGAAATAAAAGTCCTGAAATGAAAAAAATTAGCTTGCTCCAAAAACGTGCAGTTAGAATTATTGAAAATGCAAGAACAGCTTCACATACTGATCCTCTTTTCTTTAAGTACAAAATCCTTAAGCTAAATGATTTGACTGAATTTAATCAAGCAAAATTTATGTATAAATACACGAAAAAACTTCTACCCTCCTCATTTCACAACACTTTTAAAAAACTCGGAAATTTTGAAAGATCTCTTAACTATCAAATTGACATT